TCTGTCTTTCTTTTCCTCTTTCTTTCTGTCTAGCTCTATCTCTCTCTCTCTCTCTCTCTCTCTCTCTCTCTCTCTCTCTCTCTCTCACTGCATCTCTCTCGGCATCCCTCTCTTTTTCTTTCGCTCTATCTCTCCCTCTCTTTCTCTCAACAAATAATCCCCCGTTGCACCGCTGTATACACTGGCTTTCACCGTACCTGTTGAAGTTGTCGAGTCCCGCGGTACTGTGAGAAGCAAAGGTCATTAAGTCTCACTCTCTTCCGAAAAGAAGCGAAATCTCCTGATGAGTGGGATAGTCATTCTTACACAAGTCATTTGAAGAGGTCAAGTGCCTCATAAAATGAATAAGACCCACAAATGTTTATTGTGCTTGTGTTAACGGCGAAAAACTAAGTGGGTGGAAAAGCTACCCCTGCTAATCCTGGCATGGAAAACCTCGGGTTTCACGGCTCCTTATAGTGTAAGAAAGAAACGGCCTTTTTTTACTTGGGAAAAATACTGTTGTTGTGAAGGTTTTGGTAATATTGTGTAGGAGGGATAAATTAGATTGCATGACTGCGTTGTGACTCCAGGGAGTTATTTCGCCCAAGGTGGGTTGTTGCAAAGGAATATACATGGCTACAGAAACTGACTGGGTCTATTGTATTTCAGAGTTCAATGAACGGGGATTTTTTTTTTAAGGAACCCCTCCCCACCCCCACCCCCTTTTCAGTTTCATAGTAGTTCCCTACGTCGATTACAATAATTATTGAGGGAAAAACCCGCTATTTATTTTTTTCACAACATATTTGTCAAATCGACACCTCAACTATTTCCACTTAGCAAGGCCATTTTTTTCTCACGGGAAGAAAGTCTCGTTCCTTTTGTTCTACGGTCTTTTCTTTGCACATCTTTGGATTGTTTTTAAAAAAAATATTTACACCGTATTTTCAAGTTTTATTTTACTTTTATAATTCCAACAGGATTTGCCGAGGTCTAGCCACAATGCTACCTGTCTAAACCTCTTTGAAGCCTGCCATGATTGAGAGATTAAGAGATAAAGAACACACCTCTTATTACCGACTTGGTTTGTCAGAATAATATGTGCACCAGCTCTAAGGTATCCACACAAAGTGATGTTGACCTTTAAAATTTAATGCTTCTGGTCTGACAGAATGCTTTCTGTTTTATGAACAGCCTTGAGCTAAAAATCGCTCAATCTGAACATAAACTTCGAGAACTTTACCCTCTAGTGGTTCTAAGTTTGGGTAATATTGGGGAGTTGTTTATTGAGAACATTTCCTGGCTATGATTTGACTTTGTCACAATGTGCGACCGGAAACGTTTTGCTATTTAAATATCGGTGTTTTTTCCACCTCCACCGACACAATTTGGATCATTTTCGGGGCCGACGTCGATTCTGTCTGTCAGGGCCAAACCGGATTGAGAGGGATATATGTTACAGTAAGAATGCGTACCTAGTGAATACGCGTAATCACTGACTATTTTAGTGAATACACGTAATCCCCGTTTCACTCTGGGGTTTCACGTAATCACTGAAATTTCTAGTGATTACTCGAAATCCCTAAAATTAGACCTATCATTTTACGTGTTTTTACTACTGAGCATTCAGTAAATTCACGTAATAGCCCC